TTCGCCCATCCCCCCACCAACACCCATTTGGTAGCCATAAGTTTATGCTCTATAGTTAAAAGAGTCTCTTTCTTGGTTTGTTCCTCTCTCTTTCTTTCCTCCATGATCATTTGTTTTGTTTTGTGTCTTAAATTCCACATATGAGTGAGATCATGTGGTATTTGTCTTTCTCTGACTTACTTTGCTTAGGATAATACACTCTGGCTCCATTTACATCATTGCAGATGGCAAGATTTCATTCTTTTATAAGGCTGGGTAATATTCCATTATTTATATGTGTATATATAAATATATATACATATACATATATGTGTGTGTGTATACACACACACACACATTCATATATATATATGGCATCTTTAGCCATTCATCAGTCAATGGACATTTAAGGTCTTTACATAATTTGGCTGTTGTTGATAATACTGCTATAAACTTTGGGGTACAGGTATCCCTTCAAATTAGTATTTTTGTAACCTTTTGTTAGGATAGTTCTATTTTTTTTTTTAAAGATTTTATTTATTTATTTGACAGAGAGGGATCACAAGTAGACGGAGAGGCAGGCAGAGAGAGAGAGAGGGAGGAGAGGGAAGCAGGCTCCCTGCTGAGCAGAGAGCCCGATTCGGGACTCGATCCCAGGACCCTGAGATCATGACCTGAGCCGAAGGCAGCGGCTTAACCCACTGAGCCACCCAGGCGCCCAGGATAGTTCTATTTTAACTTTTTTTTTTTTTAAGATTTTATTGATTTATTTGTCAGAGAGCTAGAGAGAGTACAGGCAGGCAGAGTGGCAGGCAGAGGCAGAGGGAGAAGCAGGCTCCCCGCACAGCAAGGAGCCCGATATGGGACTTGATCCTAGGACGCTGGGATCATGACCTGAGCCGAAGGCAGTCGCCTAACCGACTGAGCCACTCAGGCATCCCCTATTTTAACTTTTTGAAGATACTCCATACTCTTTTCCAGAATGGCTGCACCAGTTTGCATAAAGAATATCCTTCTATTAAAGCTTTATAGAAATGGGGGCATCTGTGTGGCTCAGGTAATTGTCTGCCTTCGGCTTGGGTCATGATCCCCTGGCGTTGGGATTGAGCCCTGTGTCAGGCTTCCTGCCCAGCAGGGAGTCTGCTTCTCCCTCTCCCTCTGCTACTACTCTCTGCTTGTGTTCTCTCTCTCTGTTAAATAAATAAAATCTTGGAAAAAAAAAAAACTTTACAGAAATGATTAATCGAAGGGCACCTGAGTGGCTCATTGGTTAAACGTCTGCCTTCGGTTCAGGTCATGATCCCAGGGTACTGGCGTGGAGCCCTGCGTCAGGCTCTCTGCTCAGTGGGGAGTCTGCTTCTCCCTCTCCCTCTGCCCCTTCCCCCTGCTTGTGCTCTTTCCTGCTCTCTCTCTTTCCCTCTTTCTCGCTCTCTCTCTCATGTAAATAAAATCTTTAAAAAAAAAAAAAAACTGATTGAGCCATCTAATATGGGAATATTCTTAAATAACATTTTTATACTATAGCTATATTAGTTTTCAATGCTTAGAAGAAATTAGGGTATAATATTTATTGTTTGGAAAAAATTTTTCGTTTAATTAATGTTTTAATGTAAGTCCAAGTATATAAAGATATAAAGGGTACACAGTGAAGGGTAAGAGATGAACCACTCCTGTCTCCTTGTCATCTGTTTCTTCCCACAGGACACAGCTGCTGTGAACTCTTCTATTATAGATACACAGGAAAACATACGTACATAGACCTGTGTGCAAATACATGTGTATTATGAAAATGATAGCATGCCATGTTCATTGTGCTGATTTTTTTTTTTTTAGTGAGTCTATTTTTTTATTATAAAAATACTCATAACATAAAACTTAGCATCTTACTGATTTTATTTGTACCATTTGGTAACATTAAGTACATTCACGTTGCTGTGTAGTCGTAACTGTCATCTGTCTCCAGAAATTTTTCATGATCTCAAACTATGACTGTACCTGTTAAACAATAACTTGCCATTCACTTTCACCCCTGCCCCTGGCATCCACCATTCTTTCTGTTTCTGTAAGTTGAACTACTCTAAGTACCTCATAGAAATGGAATCATTCAGTATGTGTCTTACTGTGTCTGGCTTTGATTTGACTTGGCATAAAGTCTTCAGGGTGTATCCATGTTGAAGGTGAATCCGTGTGTCAGAATTCCCTTTTTAAGGCTGAATAATGATACTTTATTGCATGAATATACCACGTTTTACTTATCCATTCATCCATCATTGGTCATTTGGGTTGTTTCTACCTTTTGGCTATTGTGAATAATATTGCTCTGAACATAGGTATTCATGTATCTGTTCAAGTCCCTGCTTTTAATTCTTTTGTGTATATATCCAGAAGTGGAATTGCTGGATCATGTAGTAATTCTATGTTTGAATTTTTGCAGAACCCCCATGTTTTCCACAGCAACTGTACCACTTTACATTGCCATCCACAGTGTGCAAGGTTTCCAATAGCTCCACATCCTCAACACCTATTTGCTGGGGTTTTTTTTTTTTTTTTTTAGTATAATTTCCATCCTAATGGGTATCGTACCATGCTTTTTAATCTTACTGTATCTTGGAGAACCTTTCAGGAAAGAAGAGCCTTTCTTTTTAAAGACAGTATAAAAAGCTGTGTTTTTGACTGTTCCCAGTGGGTGACCATGTAGTGGTGGTATGGTGGGAGGATTGATTTAAGTTAGGTGCACGGGGAGACTTTTCTGGGTAGGTTTTATTTGAGCTGAGACATGAGGACACCTGGCACCAGTCAGTTTGGGAAAAATAGGAGAGAAGAGAGTAAGTAGGTAAAAATATTCTGGAAAACATTTTAATGCGTGGGAGGCTTGTCATGCCTTCCAAAATTAAGTGACAAGTTGATCTTTAATATAACCATTGTGTTCGAATAAGAACTCCGTACGGATTACAGTCATCTATGGCATAATGGGGAGGGGAGAAAGGCTAGGTATACAAATGGACCTGGGGAAACTAGTTGCTGTATATAGTAGGTGTGATTCTTTTCTCAGCTGCTTTTTGGAGCCCATTCATGCCTGTGGGACAGGGATCATCTAGCAAAATAAAACTGAGATAAAAAATTCCATCATTGGAGTGATTTTTTTTTCATTTTAATTTTTTGATTTCTTAATCTGTAATTTCTATTTTCTGTTTAGAAGCAGCAAAGACTTTGTTTTGACCAATTTATTTCTGAATTTTTCCAAAAGATCTATTTACTGGAATGCTAAGATAAGGAGCCAGGTTTCTATATTTGATGGCCAGAGTTTAAATCCCAAATCGGTCCTGACGTCTCAGGCTTCCAGGTACTGGCCATAAGACATAAGTGCTGGGTCTGGGCCGAGGCCTCCACAGTGTGGCTAAATCTGGCAATCATCAGAAAGATGTGAGGGAGAATTGACTGGAAGCAGTTTGGCTGTAAGAATAGGACAAAATAACCTTGGATTTAGTTGTGTTCTTAAAGAAATGAATTTTTTTTAGGGATTTCCAGCTTGTATATCAGAAGTTCTTGATTTGGGCCTATGAGAATCTAAGGTTTGGCTGGACATTTGGGTTTTTTTAGACACTGTAATGATGTTAGCCATCATAATTCCATGTAAAATTATGTTAGTTGGTGATTCCCATGGCAGTACAGATTAAATTAACATTTAAAAATTTTATACAAGGGATTATTCATTTTTAAAAGTTTGTGTCCATTATCCACTCTGTCATGGATTATATGGTTATGCATATGTTTGAATAAATGAGATGTGGTGTTAATGTAGTGGATTCTGTTATAGGTTTTATGGGAAAATGTTTATCTTTTATGCTTCTGGGCTACTTCGACTAAATTTGGCTTGGAACTTGGCTGTTGGGGGTAGGTATCCAGTGATGTGTACCCTTATTAGAGCTGCTTTTTTATCTGAAATTCTATACTATTTTTCAAACCATCTTACTGCAAACTGACAAATCTATGGCATTGAAGGTGTTTGCTTAAATTCTCGACTTCTATACTTCCTTGGACACTTCTTCACATTTTTAATAGTCTATGATTTTGTTTTTTTGGAGAAAAGGATCTTCTTGTAACAGTTCAGTTGTTCTAGGGCTTGAAATCTAGTTACCTTGATAGTATTATGGCAAAGGAGTACCCAATGGACAAGAAATGGTAATGTTAGAGTTTTTCAATCAGTAATGTAAAATAAACTATATAGACACATTTTTTTTTTAAAGATTTTATTTATTTGACAGACAGAGATCACAAGTAGGCAGAAAGGCAGGCAGAGAGGGAGGGAAGCAGGCTCCCTGCTGAGCAGAGAGCCTGATGCAGGGCTCGATCCCAGGACCCTGGGACCATGACCTGAGCCGAAAACAGAGGCTTTAACCCACTGAGCCACCCAGGCGCCCCTATATAGACACATTTTAACTGAATCTGGAGCAAAGTGCTTTATAATGTTTTCTGTACTCCCAGAGACATGTTATCTACTGGCTTTACCTTTATTATTATTACTTTTTGTGTAGTTTTCATGATTAACTCACCATTGTCAGAAGGACTAAAATAAATATTGGTTTTTCAATATAGGTATATTGAAACAAATATCATGCTTAAAATGACAGTCCTCCAATAAACATTCAGCATATACTGCAAGGAAAGCACTTTGCTAGGTGCTTTGTAAGATTCAGAAATAAATCAGATGTGTCTCCTAATCTCAGGATCTTTAGAGTTGTCTAGGAGATCAACCTTATGAAAAGGAACTTCCAAAGTCAACTGCAGTGGCTTTGCTAGGAAAGGATGGGGGGAGGGGTCACTGCACACACTTTACTAAAGATGTTTTATCACTAGGGCCCCAAAGTTGAAATTTATTCCCTGGTTTAAAAAAATTTTTTTAGTAACTCATACAAATACTGGTTATACTTGCTTGATGGCTGTCCCTAATGTTAATTTTGAATCTTTTATTTAAACTTTTCTTATATATGTTACTATTAACTATATTATTTTCTCTCTAGTTTGCTACAGAATGGTCAATTTGAAATTGTGACAGGTGGCTGGGTTATGCCTGATGAAGCTGCTGCACATTATTTTGCCTTAATTGACCAACTAATTGAAGGACATCAGTGGCTGGAAAAAAATCTAGGTATGTATTGATGTCTTTCTCCTTCATTTGGACTACTTCGGGTAATTAATTTTGGGGAACGTGAGATTGAGGCTCTGTTTTATTTTTTTAAATAACCAATTTTCCCAGTATTTTTTATCCTTCATTAATTTATGATGTCTCTTCAATTATAAGCTAACTTACATAAATGTAATATGGTCACTTTTAGGGTCATCTACTTTGTAATCTATTATTTTATGTACTCTTATTAATTTTAGAATAATTTTTTTTCTAACGGTATCCCGTTGGGATTTTAATTTTATATTAAAACTATTGGTTAGAAGAGGCAAAACCTAATTTACTTGACTAAGAAAAAGAAGAACCAAAGAAAGTTATTAGTTTTGTCATTGAGAATTCCAGAGGTATGGTAGGTTCAGGTAAGGTTGGATCCAGGGGACTCAAATTATGTTGTGTGGACACTGTCTCTTTTGGCTCTGCCTGCTTATTTATTTATTTATTTATTTGTGAGAGGGAGGGTCGGGGAGGAACAGAGGGAGAAGGAAAGAGAGAATCTGAAGCAGTCTCCATGCCCAGCACAGAGCCCTACATGGGTCTTGATCTCACTACCCTGAGATCGTAACCTGAGCAGAAATCAAAAATCGGACGCTCAACTGACTGAGCCACCTGGGCACTGCTTGGCTCTGCTTATTCTGCATGGCTTTAGTCTTCTCCTGATTCTCTTCACATGCTAAGATGACCATAAGCAACTAGGATTCTCATCTTCCCAGAGTAATCAGTAGAAGTTTTTCTTAATACCTTATCTAATTGCCTCACTTCGAATTAAGTGTATAACTCTGAGCCAGTTTCTGTGGCCAGAAGTATAGGAGCTGAAAACATCAAGGCCTAGTCAGTTTATTGGAAATGGTCATGGGGGAGAGGGGTTTGTGGAATGCACGGTCAGCTCCGCTGGAACCATGTGAATAGATCCTCGCTGCTAAAGAAGGATCTTGTTACCCCAAGATGTGCGGAAGGGGCTGCTGCATTGATAAAAATCAGGTGTTCGCTACAACTTGTAAGAATATGGGGCTCATTTAAATCTTTGCAATGTCTAATATTTGCATCTTGCAATGTGGTATGTAATTCCTTTCAAATATTTCTATCTTAGTATAGTTTTATAGCATTTAGGAAATCCAAGTCCCCAGACACCAGCCAAGGGCAAAGCTTCCAAGCAAGACCTTTCTAAAGATAGTACTTTGAGACCTCCTGTGTTATCTCTTTTCTGTACAGATTTGATACCTGCAACTTATTCTGATAATAACAACAATCATACCAACAATATGGCAAAAGAAAAAAATAAAGCAAATATATTAATAATTAGTAAATCTGGTGGAGGAGTTTATGGGAGTTCTTCATATTATTCTTACACCTTTTTTTTAAAGTTTGAATTATTCCAAAATATAAGGAATGAATAGGGGAGGCAGTGAGTTAATCTCTAACAAAAATTGGAAATGCCAAGAAATAAGTTCAATAAAAAACATGTATACTTACCACACAGATACTGTGGAATTGGTTCACTATGTTTAAACTGTATAAAAACAATGTAGTTTATGCTAATCACAGATGCTACTATGATCGTGTATTGAGTTCGTTTCCTTCTGGAAGTCCAGAATCTTAGTATGTACTGCTAGCCTGAGGGTGCCTCCATGACCAGCCCCCAGTAAATACCCTGAACATGGAGTCTCTCGGGGGCTTCCTTGGTTGACAGCATTTCACTCTTGTCACAGTTGTTTCAATTGTTGTCAAAACATGGAGGGATTGAACCCATCCTGTATGACTCCATAGGGAAAGGGCTCTTAGAAGCTTGTGCTTGGTTTCCCAGGGACACTGTGCCTGCCCGCGCCCCGCCCCCGTGCCTTTTCCCTTTGTGGATTTTCTTCTTAAAATTGTATTGTATGTACCCACTTAAAGTGTACAGTTCAGTAGTTTTGAGTATGTTCACAGAGTTGTGCAACCATTACCACCACCTATTTTTAGAACATTTTCAACATTCCCCCCAAAGAAATCTCTTAACCATTAATAGTCACACTCCTAATTGCCTGCAACTTTCCCTGCCCTAGGCCCATGCCACGGCTCCTTTTTTTTTTTTTTTTTAAAGATGTATTCATTTATTTTAGAGACAGGGAGAGTGTGGGGGGCAGGGAGGAAGAGCAGAGGGAGACAGAGAATCCAAGAGTCTGCACTGACTGTGGAGCCCAACATGGCCTGAGCTGAAATCGAGTTGGACCCTTAATGGACTGAGCCACTCAGGAGCCCTCCCATCTGCTTTTTGTATGTATGGATTTGACTTTTCTGGACATTGCAGATACACAGTATGTAGTGTATACACATACTGTAGTGTATATACATACACACTATAGTATGGCCTTTGTAACTGGCTTCTTTTACTTGGTATGATGTTTTCAAGTTCATTCATATTGTAGCATGCATCAGTGCTCCATTCATTTTTATAGCTGAATAATATTATTTTGTTTGGAAAGACCACATTTGTTTCTCCTTTTTTCACTTGATGGACATTTAGAGTGTTTCCCTTTTCGCTACTGTGTATATGCTGCTATACACACTTCTGTAAGTTTTTTGTTTTTGTTTTTGTTTTTACCTAACAAATCTTTTTTTTAATTTAAATTCAGTTTAATTAATACAGCAGATTAATAGTTTCAGAGGTAGAATTTAGTGATTCACGAGTTGCATATAACACTAAGTGCTCATCATTTCATCACGCAGTTCCTTAATGCCTGTCACCCAGTTACCCCATCTCCACCTCCCCACATTTATGTACGTTTTTGTGAGGACATAGGTTTTCATTTCTTTTGGGTGTATACCTAGCTAGGAATGGGATTGCTGGGCCGTATGGTAGCTCTGTGCTTAGCATTTCAAGGGAGCCTAGTTGTTTTCCAAAATGGCTGTACCATTCTACATTCCCTCCAGCAACGTATGAGGGTTCTAATTCCTCCACATGTGCAAAAGCATTTGTTACTGTCTTTTTCATTTTCACCATGCTACTGTGTATGAAAAGGTCCCTCATGATGGCTTTGATTTGCATTTTCCTGAAGACTAATGATATTAAGCATTTTTCTTGTGTGTATTGGCTATTTGCATATTTTCTTTGGAGAAATGTCTGTGCAAATTATTTGCCTATTTTTATAATTGGATTCTTTGTCCTTTTATTGTTGACTTATAAGAGTTCTTTATATATTCTTGATACAGGTTTCTTGTCAGACAAGGATTTGCAAATTATTTGTTTCCACTCTGTGGGTTGTTTTTCAGTTTCATGAAGGTGTCCTCTGATGCATATAAGTTTTGATTTTCATGAAGTCCTGTTTAGTTTTTCTTTCATCACTTGTGTTTCTATGGTCACAGCTAAGAAACAGTTATCTCCCTTAAAGTCATAAGAATTTACTCTGTGGTTTTTACCTAGGAATTTTATGGTTTTAGCTCTTTTATTTAGATGATGAACACATTTGAGACTATAAATTACCTTTTTTGTAGCTTTGGCTGCATTTTATAAATTCATGTTCTGTTTTGTTTTCTAAGCAGCTTAGAACGACATGTTATTTTGGATGCTTTATTTTTATATTTGGTCATGGAATCTTTTTTAAATTATTCAGGTTTTTGTTAATTTCTGCTTTTGTGAACTCTATTATGTAAATATCATTATAAATTTTTTAAAGTTTGAATTATTAAGGTTGTCTTTGGGCTCACATATCCATTTTTCTAACTGTTGCCTGACTTCTGTTATGCTTTCATAGTAAATGTACTTGGAATAATCCAGTTGTGCTAATTATATTATTCATATAACTCATGTTGTAATTTTTAAGTCTATTAGGTTTGACAAAAATCGAGTGATATATTTATTCTTTTTAATGACTCTTTCTTATCATTTTTCCTAACAATTTTTAGCTTTACATATTTTGATCATCTTAATCTTGCTCGATGGCACAAAATTTTTTTCATGACCTTTCCTGGTATTGGCAGACATGCCCATTATAAAACTTTGGCCTTTTTTTTTTTTTTTTTTTTTAATGCTGCACTTTTCCCTAAATTTGCCCCATTCCCCCTTTTGAAACAATACTTGCCATACCAAGGAAAACCCTATCAGGGTACCTTTCTAGGTCTCATCTCCTTTCATGTCAGAGTTTTAAAAAATATGGTTTACATTCTTTTTTTTCTCTATCGTTGCCTCCCAGGGACTCTTTTAAGTCCACTGCAGCTAGGTTGCTGCTCCTAATGTGTCAAGTGAGTTTGATATGGAAAACATCCCTGACTGTGCTAGAATCTAACATCACTCTAGAATTTGATGGTGATTCTTATCCTCACTTCAAAGCTAATTCCACCCTTTGTATTTGGGACTTTGCAATCCTTTATTATAACTTTTTTTTTTTTTGAAGATTTTATTTATTTTATTGGTCAGAGAGAGACAGAGAATGTACAAGTAGGGGTAGCAGCAGGGAGAGGGAGAAGCAGGCTCCCTGCTGGACAAAGAGCTTGATGCAGGACTCAATCCCAGAACCCCAGGATCATGACCTGAGCTGAAGGCAGACGCTTAACTGACTGAGCCACCCAAGTGTCCCTATAATTTAATTTTGATATAATTTCAATCTTATAAAAAGTTGCATGACAGCTGGGAAGGGCTCTTTCATATGTCTTCTACTTTGATTCATATCCCTTTTTTTTTTAGCCATTTGACAGTAAGTTGGAGGCATCTTCCTTTATCTTCCAGTCTTTCATGGTGTATTTTCCAAGAAATAAGGACATTTTCTTATATAACCAGAAGAAAGTTACCAAATCCAGAATGGTGGTGGTGATATAATACTATAATATAATTCATAGGCTATATTCAAATTGTCTCAATAGCTTTTTTTTTTTTTTTTTTTTAAATAAACGGTGCTTCTTTTTTTCCCTTGAAGTCCAGGATCCAACCATGGTCATGTGTTGAATTTAGTTATCACATCTCTTCCATCTCCTTTAATCTGGAACAGCTAGCTCCTCGGCCTTTTTTTTTTTTTTTTTTTTTTTTTAATTTCTTGATCTTGATATTTTTGAGGAGTGCAAACCTTTGTTGTAGAAAGTCTTTTTATTTGAGTGTGTCCGTTTCCATGTGATTAGCTTCAGGTTATTTTCCCTTCCTCCTTTCCTCTCTTCCTTCCTTCTTTTGTAACATAACCTAAACTAGTCTAGTACTTTTGGTGGAGGATCACTGCAGTGATGTCCTGCTGGCCTCGGTGCATCCTGCTTTAATCCTGGTGCTGCTAGACTTGGTCACTTGCTTAATTTGTGTCTGTTAAGTTTCTTTGCTGTACTATCACATTTTTCTTCTTTAATTCTTAACTTATTTGTGGGAGACACATTGAGATTAGGTAAATATCCTTTTCCTCGTCAGACTTGCATGTTGTAGTTTTAGGATCCATTGATGATTTTCTAACTCTGTCATTCTTTCTATAATTATTAGTTGGAATTCTGTTGAAAGGAATACCTTCCCTTTTTGTTTCCTTTATTTCCTATTTCCTTTTTTTTTATTTTCTTTTTATTTGGGGCTCATGGATCTCATGGCTTCTTACTTTATTCAGTGGGTTATAATCCACTACTATCATTGTTTATTTTGATACCCCAGTTGTCACACATTTGGATAGTGGAAGCTCCTACGGCTGTCTCCTGAGTTATTTTAATATGTTCCCATGATGCTTTGACCATTTCTTTACTTTATTCTCTAAGTATAAGTTCCAGGCTTATTTGTATTTACCCAATCACCATCCTAGGATGAGCATTTCCTTAAGGTTATTTTTAATAGAACATAGTGTCATATCTAGAAGCTAAGGTGTACTCATTGGTCCTGGGGTGTTACTGCATCTAGGCCTTCCTAGGACAGAGCTAGAAAATGGGTGTGGGTGTGTGTTTATTAAAAAACCTTAAGTTAGTGCTGATGCCTCCTATTTCAATTCAGTGTTCTAAGTACATTCTGCTCTCCCACATTTACATATTTGGTGGTTGCTTAACAGTGGGAAACCTGGCTCCCTTGTCTTAATTTGCCCAATTTTGGAATACAGGAGAAGTAGTTCCAGAATTATTAAACCATACCACCACAAAAACACAAAAATACTAAATTGAGTTCAAGGTTTCTTTAGTTTTTAGAGGTGAATTGCATATGTGAAATACAAAAATATGTGGTTGGTTCTTTGAGTTTTGACACATATTCTTGGTCCTCTGAGAGTTCCGACTTTTTCTTCTTCTTCTCTGCTTTCTTTCTTCTTCTTCTCAGTCTTCTCTGTGGACTTCCCAGCCCTGTGTTCATCTTCAAGATTGTTCCACAGAGTTCTGAGTATCCTGAATAAATAAAAGATCAGATTTGTATAATGCTGGATAACTAGTTGTCTTTCCTTAATCCCAATCTTTACATTTATTATGTTTATTTTTTTGTACTGTACCCTGTGTGAAATTGAGCTGTATCTTTAGTCTGTGGCTCTCATAATTGCTGTGAGTCAGTTGTGAAAAATTCCATTAATCCTTTCTGGGTAGAGAGAGAGTACCAGCATTATATTATGTTACAATTATATTTCATCAAGATTTAATGAAATGTGGTAGTTATTTTGGCCAGTGCTGCTATTATATAAAAAAATGATTCAGAGCTGTTGTGAGGTATGAAAGACAGCCTGAAAATTCCTTAACGTTGTGATTGAGGGGTACAGGTTGAAATACGTTAGCTTACTTTTCTTTATTACATAGCAGCAGTTGCTGGGTTATCCAACTCAAAGGAAAACAAGACTGTGAGGTCTTAGAAGGCAGAGGGCTAGGTCCTGTTTGTTTCTCTAGCTCCATTAAATGGCAGTAGCTCTCTAAGACCTACAAGATGGCAGAGTGCCTCTTTCAGCTCCAACTGATTAACCTCTAGTGCCATTCCTCTGCTTGGGAAGACATGGTAGTGGCAGGATCCTCCCAGTTGGGAGCCCTGCTGGGAGTATATGCTAAGAGGTAATGCTGGGGAGATGCTTTGTTCCCAAACCCAGAATACAGTAGAACTCTGACTGGTCTGAATGGATTGTGACTTCTTTTCATTTCATTAGCAATTAAAAAAATAACACTTATTTTCTTTATCAACAGGAGTGAAACCTCGGTCCGGTTGGTCTATTGATCCTTTTGGACATTCACCAACGATGGCTTATCTCCTCAAACGTGCTGGATTTTCTCACATGCTTATTCAGAGAGTTCATTATGCAATTAAAAAACATTTTGCATTGCATAAAACGCTGGAATTTTTTTGGAGACAGAATTGGGGTATGTGGGGTGTGATGAAAGTGGAAGATCTCACGTGACCTAGATGTTCCTTCATAAGGGTTATGAACTCCTGCTGTTACGGGTTTTATTCAGAGTGTCCGTCTTGAGAATGAGGTTGCTTCTGGATACACATTCTTACAATTTTTTCCCAGTGTATTCGTGTTAAGATTCTCTTAATCTTAAATAGCTGAGGCTATTTATCTATAGAACATTGTGGATTCTTTTTCATGCCTTAAGGAGGTAAAGAAATGTAAGGAATTGGTCTTTTGCAAATAATGCTTTTACTTCTGTTTTGAAAAGGTTGTTTTTTATCACAAAGTTGAACATGTGTTAGAACTTATGTCCAATCATTTATTTCATATTCAGCCTGTGTTTTCTCCTTCTGGCTTTCCTGTCTCTGCATCTAGTAAGAATTGCTTTTTAAAACCTTAATCCTGTCCTCCTGGAACAGCCCTCCTATTACCTGTACTGCTTGTTTTCACGCTGTATTCTGTGGGTACAAAGGTATTCCCAAGGTCATACTTCTACAGCTCTCAGCTGGGAGGTGGGGAGGAGACAAGATTTAGGCTTCTTGAGAGGTTTTTGCCTTTCCCAACCCCCATTTAATTCAGAATACTTTATTATTTCTTTTTCTTTACAAGTTCTTATTATGGGCCATGCATTGTATTGTATGCCTTATACCTGCTCTCTCATTAGATCTTTGTCCTTTAACGTTGGTTCTCTTATTATCCCTTTTAAATGGTGAAGAAATGGATGCTTAGAGCTGTGAAACCATTTGCCAAAAGTCATACAGGTAGTAGGTACAAATCCAGCTTTGTGTAGTTCAGAAGCCCGGGCTTTAAGCCCCTGGCATTCACTGCCATCCTGGTACTGAGTTCTCAGTAAGATTTCATCTGCAAAAAGGATTTCATTGCTAAAACAATGTTCAGAAATCACTGCATTGCATCATACTTGCTTTCCTGTGTAAGTTAGTTCCCCCTGTAAGTGTTTTCAAAAGATCATTTGTAAATCTAGACAGTAACTTTGTTACACATACTGCTATTTTTTCAGTAAGGAAAGAAATTAACTATATAATTTTTTATTCTGGGAATTAAAACCTGTATGGAAAACAAGAACTCGTAGGGGGTTATATCCTGTATAGTTTGATCAAATGCAAAGGAGCATATTGATTTCTTTAAAAAAAGGATTTTTAATGTGAAGAGGCCCTACTTAGAGTATTGCCCACATTCAAATTGCCCATAAATATCAATCAGCAGAAATTACTAAGTACTTTTATGTACTTAATACCATGCTTTATGTACTTAATACCAAACTTCTTTGCCTATCAGGAAATTACAGTCTTAGTATGATAAAAGACAAGACCAACAGCAGCAGATAAACTGAGATGTGCAAATGAGCTGCTAAATAGTACAGGTGAGGCAAAGGAATGGGGCTGCTTAGTGTGTCTTTGATTTATAGGAGAAGGCAAGAAAAGTTGCCACCCAGGGCCTCTGTGCAGATAGCAAACATTAGTGACCAGCATCTATGATGTCATACTCGAGTGTGATTCAGTGAAGCAACTGACAGCACAGAAATATACAAATTATAATAGCTTTAAAATTTGGAAAAGAGCTGGTAATTACTTTAACTAAATGGAGTATGAGATAGAACTGGAGTATTTTAGCACTTACCAGATAGACTTGAACATGTTGCTTCAGAATTATGCTTTGGAACTCATTTGAGCTTCTTTGTGTGTTCTGGTTCTTAATGAAGCAGTTATTTTCATTTTTTCAAACATGTGTGTTTTTCTTTTTTTTTTTTCATTGTTGTTGTTGTGTCTGTCTTTGTCATAAAAGCAGTACATAACCCACTGCTGAAAAGTAGAAATCCACACTTAAATAAAGGGGAGTGGTATTTACAGATCAGGAGACTACAAAGATAACAATTATTAACCCTGGTTTAAGCCTTCCATCACTGGGTGGTAGGCTTCTGACCTCTCAAGGGCAGTGATAAGGATACTTGCTGGCATTGAGGATTTAATTAAAGACAGTTCTGCATCAGGAACCAGTGCTCAGTTTTTGTATATTTTTTGTTTGCTTTGTTTTTGTTCTTGTTTTTTTTTGTTTGTTTGTTTGGTTTTTGGTTTTAAGAAGTACTTTCACTTGTCCTGTGTTGCTTTCTTGGTGACAAGTCCCAGTGGCTCTTCATTGTTGAACATCAGGGAGACTGTGAACTCCTCTAGTGGCCCTTTCTTCTTCTCACAGCAAGAAATAGATAGGAATTTGCCCGGCATTTCATAAGCCTCCCTACCTTCCTCCTTTCTTCCCTTTATTCTCTTCATCTCTTCTTCTCTCCTTTCTTCTGCAGCCAGTGTCATGGTCTTTCTCAGTGTGTCTCATAACTGCTATGGGGGCAGATGTAGCAAGGAGCTGGTAGCCCATATGGGATGGACACAGGGATGGACACAGCCCATAATTTTGGATGAGCCAGTGATTAAGTTTTGCTTCTGTTCGGTTTGTATCTTTCCAGGCCAGCAGATGCTGGTCCGTGTTGGGTCTCTGCTCAGTTGAGATAAAGGAGGTAGAGACTAAGATGTGAGTCTCTTCCTTCAGGCTGGTGGTCGTTAAATGCGGTTGGGGTTTATGTACGAGTAGTAGTCAAGTAGGTTGTGGATTTAGGGTGGAGCTTGCATTATATATGTAGAGAGTACTGGCATTTTGATCAGTTTTGGGAAAACAGTTTATAAATCCAGGTTTTGTCTGTTGGCTCTTTATTTTAGATCTGGGATCTGGCACAGATATTTTTTGCCACATGATGCCCTTCTACAGCTATGACATCCCTCATACGTGCGGACCTGATCCTAAAATATGCTGCCAGTTTGATTTTAAACGGCTTCCCGGAGGCAGATTCGGTTGTCCCTGGGGAGTCCCCCCAGAAACAATACATCTTGGAAATGTCCAAAAGAGGTATGAGAATATGCATTTCGTTAAGACAACCTCTCGAACAAAGCAGCAGCTCTGCTGCTCTTTGCTAAAGGGTTCAGTGGCCAACGTTATCCACACTCAAGGTAGTTATTCAACCAGATCTAAAGCAACTTAAAAATGCCAGAGCTTTGACTGTGCCTTTTATGTGTTATATAACTTGATGGAAAATGAACAACAGTTGATCAATATACAATGGAGAACCTATAACACTATGTTATTACCCTCTCCTTTGCTCTCATTATAAAAGCCTTCTGCTGCGTTTCATTGATCTCACATACTTTCGTTGATAATAAAACTTCTGGTCTCTATTGTATATATTAGTAAGAAAAGCAACCCAACTGCAAAAACATGTTTATTGAAATGGAACACATAAAGAGTATAATTATCTGTTCTTTTAATACAATTTCAATAATAGTGGATGCTGCCCAGCTCTGATGAATACACTCTTTTGATCTTTCTCATATTTTTGACTCACAGACCATTTTTAATTAGGAATATTGATACTTAAAGATCTTTTCTTAAATAAAAAAGGGATGAATCATTTTTTAAAGAAGAAAATTACGTTCATGACGGAGGCGTCTCATTGTACCAAGTTACCTATACTTCTTATTTGTGTGCTTTTAAAGTTTAATTTCTTCACTTAAAAATTACTGGTGTATAATGCCTTTAAATAAAACATTGTCTTGCAATATAAACCACTCACCTCTGGCAGAAAGATGATACAGGCTTTTATTTATTTTTTTTTTAGATCGATTGTGTTATTTATTATCCACATGAGAAGATTTTTGAGAGTGAGAGGGAGAACAATAAACAATTAAACTAGGATGACAGCCATAAATTCTGCAAACCACAAGTTTCATTAACTCTATTTTTAAGACCCTAGAATTTCTGGTTTCTGAAAACCTACTCTGCCTGGGTTCTTGTACATGTTATCCTTAAAAAACTTTCAAAAACATGATGGTAACACAAATGTAGGCATATTTTTAATCTCCTCATATTGTGTACATTAACTGTATAACAATAATTATGTGGGTTTGTGTTTTTTTTTTTTTTTTTTTTTTTTTGTTGTTGTTGTTGTTGTTTTGCCATTTTTAAGTTTGATGGTTTCTGGGAACTCCACATTCATGTGAGTTGCTAAGAAGCAGCCAGGCATTCTACCTTCCATAGGAGGGTTAAAATGGGCACGGGGTGAGGTAGGTCAGTAGTTACCAAGCATGGCTGCCCAGCTCACCCAGGGAGCTTTCGAAAAATCTCCAGCCCAACAAAATGAGAATACGGTACTCTCATAACCACACCCCACATGGTTGCGAAGCCCAATGATAAAGCCTTTTAGATAGAGTAAAATCTTTGCAGTATGCACTGTCAAGTCTATTTATTTTAAAAATTGCTTTTTAAAAACTGTGTGTGGAAGGAAAGGTGAATTGAGTCTCTCTGCCTTGAGTCAGTCCTTGAGCCATAAAATACTCCATTGTGAGCCTCTCACTGTGGCACACACAAAAGTATCTTAACATGGCAGCCTTCTTGAAGCCATAGATCCCTTCTAGCAAAATCTGACTTTCATAGTTATTTTGAAAAACTGTCCAAGATTAGGGATCAGCCTGGTTTCATTTTATTGGTTCCTACTGCAATGAAGATGAGTGAGGAAAAGTGAGCAGCATGCTTTCTGGGGTTAGGTTAGTTAGACAGAGGAGAATAATCCAGTGTATTATGTGGCAAAAGGTAGAGAGTTGGGCAGCATAAGCTGTTCTGTAGCTCAGGAGGTCAGAGATAGGGAATTCCTTTGAAGGTAACCAGATGCTTCAGTTGGGAACTCCCAGTGCACCAAAGACCTGGGAGGCTCCTCCTTTTCTTTCTTGGGCGCTGCTTAGAGTACCTGTTTAAAGTGCATTATTGGGGAAAAATGCTATTTTGTGTAATCTTTTTGCTGTGTCCCATCTGACACTTCAAGGATTGACCCCCAGGAACAGACCTTGTGCTCAGTCACTTGCAGTGAACCTGCAAGTGGTTTCCAGGCACCTGAGGGCATGGAGATGAAAGAGTCTATTTAATACTTATGTAGATTTTTTTAAAAACTTCTTATAAGTCTTGAAATCTTAACTCTACTGGTTACTTTACATTCTAGGTATCACCTTCCTTTTTACTTTGTGATGAATGGAGATCAAAACCAGGCATTGCAGCCTAGTGGCACTTGATTTTTAATACCCTGAAGAAAATGAAATTTAACTATAATTTACAGGTTCCTCTACTTCACAAATAAAGAATTACCATTCTTCATCAAGTTGAGTGTTTGTTCTCATACAGTAATATTTTACATATAATGGTGATTTTCATGTCACATGATACAGGATATTCTAGGGAATTTTTTCTTTTTTCTTGGTTCTAGTTAAGTTGACATTTCTAACCTGGTAGAAGTGAAGAGCAGATTGCTGCTACACATCTTCAAATGTGATATTGGTCAATTCATTTGGCATTAGTGTACCATAGATTTTGTGACTATCCACTCTCTACCAGGTACTATAGATTGGACTCTTGGCTTTGCCAGTGTTGACACCTTCTGGAAGGAGCTTGGGAATTAGGACAGATGCTGAATGGAAAAGTCACATTTAATGTTTGTGATTTCTTTCCTCTTAGGTGTCTTATGCATATACACACAAGAGATAATGTATCGAGTAGTAAACCTCGGCATTCACTTAAATGATCACTTATCCTTTTCTATGCTGGTTGCTTAGGGGGATCTGATTGATTGCTCAGTCACAGTATACTTATATCCATGATTTCTATGTTCAGTTTTCTCTCTTATTTATTTTTCTCTTATTTATCTTTCTGTTTGATTAATTTCATTAGACATGTGTTTTTTAATACATATAAATAATGATCCAAGGTTATTTTTGGTAAGTGTGGAATATTAGTAAATTATTAGCAAAAATTGAGTACTCTACCGAATGCTAATCTCAGAAAACTATGTTATGTCAGAACAGTATGGTTATATTTTACTCACCAAGTTATTGAATTTTGCTAATAATTTAATATTGCAAGGCAGTTTCAGAGACCATCAGTATAAAAAGATCATGTGAGATTCTAAATTTAGTTAAATGTTTTTAATTCTATAAAATACTTCTTTCCATTATTGATGTTGAGTTTCTTTCATAAGTTTTTATATCGTGAATTGGAACTTCTCAATAGCCCTTGACATGAAAATTGGAATGCTGGGTAAAAAGCACATTAGTCATCATTAATTTCTTAAGTGTGGCATTACACAGAGAACTACTGTGAGTTCATCTGCTTATTTAATTTCATTTTTGTAAGCCGTTCCTCTTAAATAGTTTGTATTCCTAGACTTGCTCAAATGGTGCCCCAATTCAGCATTCAGCAGTTCAACCCCAAAGGTTTTCTGCAGAATACAAGAATACGAAATATAAAAGCACATCAGCACATTTAGTATTTAGCTGACCTTTAGACTCGTGGGTTAGATCTGTGGGAGGTAGAAATCAAAAAAGCTAATTCAACTTCAAAGCTTTATCTGTTGATCAGCACTGGGAAGGACACTGTGACAGATACCCAGTTTATTAATGGCAGGTGTTAAGTGAGTTGCTTTTCTTCCTTTTGAAGAGGAAATCGGGTTCTGTAATCGGTTTCATTCAAACTATTACATTTTTTATGTTTAATCAGGCAAGTTTAGATCAAATTAGAGAAAGGGGTCTTAAGTCAAAGCCAACTTCAAAGTTTATATAGGTGAGAACTCCTTATTGTCTTCTTGGACTGAATTATTTTAAAACACAGACAGTCTGGGATCCAGTGTCTGTGGCCGGGCTTCAGGAAGCTATTGAAGTTCCCAGTTATTATATGTCAAAGTTGGTACATGACTTTATTTCTCTAAGGATAATCTATTGGAAACTGCAGGTTTTTCCCTCTGGTAAGAATTTATGAGTATGTTTTTTAAAAGATTTATTTATCCATTTTAGAGAGAGAGAGAAAGCAGGGGGGAGGGGCAGAGGAAGAGAGAGTCCCAAGTTGACTCTGAGCTGTGTGTAGGACCCAATGCAGGGCTTGATTTCATGACCCTGAGATCATGACCCAAGCTAAAACCAAGAGCCTGGATGCTCAACCAACTGTGCCATCCAGGCACCCCAGAATCTAGGAATATTTTAAGGACTTTATTTTTATTTATTTATTTGACAGAGAGCAATCACAAGTAGGCAGAGAGGCAGACAGGGAGAAAGGGGAAGCAGGCTCCCTGCTGAACAGAGAGCCCAATGCAGAGCTTGATCCCAGGACCCTGAGAACATGACCTGAGCTGAAGACAGAGGCTTAACCCACTGAGCTGACCACGCGCCAGGAATATTTTAAATGGATAATGAAAATTAGTTAGTAGTTTTTTAAAAATCTGCCTTATAAATCATACTAATCTAGAATACAGGAAGAGTATACAACAATTTCTTTTAACATAATACACTTTTTAATGAGTTGCCCTGTTGCCCTTTTCCTAATATTATTCTTATTTTCCCTTTTTCTTTTGTAGGGCTGAGATGCTTCTAGATCAGTACCGAAAAAAGTCAAAACTCTTTCGTACTACAGTTGTCCTGGCCCCACTAGGAGATGATTTTCGCTACTGTGAACGTACAGAATGGGATCATCAGTATAAGAATTATCAGCTGCTTTTTGATTATATGAATTCTCATCCTGAGTATAATGTTAAGGTAATTTGAAAATATTTAATTATGATACTGTATTTGAAGTTGAGCCTTCATTATTAAATGAGGCTAAAACAGAATAGCCTTAGTTTCTTTGTCCCATATCCCAATATTTCCTGGTATATGTAGTCCTTATGTAAGAGGGTAGTTCTTAACCAGGAAAATTATCTAGTACTATAGTTGCATTTCTGAAGTTGTCCCTTGCTCCCATTCCTACAGCATTAAAGAGATGTTACTTTTATGTAGTTGTCAATATGCACCTGCTAAGTTGTCATCTTTATTTTTCAGTGATGTCCTGTTTTTCTACCAGCATTGAAAGTGTGTTTCTCTGTGACAGTTGCATCCTTGTGATTTAGTAGTGTTACGGGCAGATACAGATGAACATGTCATGAATTTTGCAAATGAATATCTTGTGTCCAGCATTTTTCCTGGTTGAGAAGACTTCCAAAATTAATAATTTGTCTGTAGCTCTTCCTCTTCCCCCACACCCACCTGCCGGGTTGGAAAATTTCGAATGTACTGTAAAGTTATGAAAACAACTAAAGTACCCATCCCCTGAATCCTGCTTCCCCATATCCATAGTTCAGCTACCACATTGATCAATTCAAGGTCACTCTCTCTTCAGCTGTGGCTCACTGTCCTCTCTCACCCTCTCCCGGGGATTATTTTGGAGGAAATAGTAGTCATTTAGTTTCATCTGTAACCATTTCACTACTTACAAATGATGAGTACTCTGTTTAAAAATACAATCATAATGCCATTATTAAATCTAAAAATTAACAATAATTCAGTATTATCACGTATCCAGATAGAGTCATATTTTCCTGATCACATACAGGCAATTTTTTCTTAGCGTATGTTTCATGAGTCAGGATTCAAACAAGAGTCCTATCTTAGACCCTATATGAGAAAATTACCCAATGTGTTTATTATAGTCACATACTAACCTATGAGACAGTAGAATATCTATGTAAATACTATAGAAAAGAAGAGATGTTACTGTTTAGGAAGTTAGAAAGCTGATGATAGGCCACATTTTATGTTGGGATAATTCAAGTTTATTAAGTAAATGTAAATGATATCAAATAGTTAAATAAACTTAAATAAAATGCCAGATGTATTCAAGATACTTACAACTGAATTTCTGCCAGATTATGAACTCAGTGCATCAGGTCTATGTTTAAATTATCTGTTTAATCTCCTCAAAGATGAAGCTGATACACAAGCATTTGCTTAGGGGATGGCATATATAGATGGGGTATTTTATCCCTAAATACATCTTCCTAGTGAATGATTTTGAGGTCCACAAAAGGATCTACCACTGATTCTAAAAAATTAAAGTCCTGATTTTTGTATTTTACCTATTTCCTTCTTTGCCCAATAGGGCAGTTTTTACTGAGGGTTTTAGAGGGAACGGGGGTGGGGGAATGGATGGGCACGTATTGCATGGAGTGTTGGGTGTTATATGTGGACAATGAATCACAGAACAATACATCAAAAATTAATGACGTACTGTATGGTGACTAACGTAACATAATAAAAAATAGTTACTTTTTGATTATATGAATTATAAGTATCCCATACATAGGAGACATGCACAAACCAGAAGTGTACAGAGAATTTTTCAAGTTTAAAAACCCCCATGTAACCACCTCCAGCATTTATGGCATCCCAAAAGAGTCCCTTAGATGTCCTTCAAATCATTGCCAGATCTTACGGAAGTAACCTTATTTTCCCTTTTATCATGGTGAGTAGTAGTATTTCTTTTGAAATGATATAAGAAGGGAATCTTAAGTATGTTCCTTTGTGTCCGCCTTTCTCTGCTCCACGTAGTGTTTGTGAGATTCATCTGTGTTGCATATAGCAGTATATTCATTTTTTTAAAAGATTTTATTTATTTATTTTAGTGGAGGGGGGAACGCGAGCGGGGGGAGGGACAGACGGAGAGGAAAGAGATTCTCAAGTAGACTTTGCGTGGAGTCCAGAGCCCAACGTGAAGCTCAGTCTCAGGACCCCATGATCATGACCTGAACCAAGATCAAGAGTCAGATGCTTAACCCACTGAGCCACCCAGGCACCCCATAATATATTCCTTTTTAATACTGTATATTATCTTAGTGTCCATTTGATACATCACAATTTGTCCATTCTATTATTAATGGACATTTGGGTTTTTCCGGTTTTTGTCTATTACAAATAAAGCCATTTTGAATATTGCGAATGTATTTATATACATGTATGTGAATTTATGTGGGTATAAAATGGGATGGGACTTCTTGATCATTGAGGATGCACGTGTTCAACTTCAGTAGATATTTCCAAACGGCATCCCAAAATAGATGCACTAGTTCTTGCGCTGCATGACAATTTCAGTTGCTGTACTTCCTTACTGACATTTTTTATTGTAAGGATTTTTTTTTTCATTTTTTTTTTTTATGATTGATGTGATGGTTTTATTTTATATTTCCATATTGGTTAATGAGTTGAACATCTTTTCATAAGTTTATTGCCATTTGTGAAGTGACTATTTAAAGTTTTTGATGACTTTTCCTTAAATTGGGTTGTCTTTTTGTACCATTTATAGCTCTTTTATATATTTTGGTTTGAGTCTTTCTTCAGATAAAAGTTATGCAAATACTGTATCCCACTATGTAAGCCTGTTTTTTAATTCTTTCTTAAAGCTGTCTTTTAATAAACATGAATTCTTTTAGTTAAATCTAATTTAACAGTATTTTCCTTTATGGTTAGTGCTTGTCATGTTCTGCTTAAGAAATTTTTGTTTATACCGCATAGTCATGAAAATACACTTCTTATGAAGTTGTCCTCCAGAAGCTTTGTTATTTTACCTTCAGTATTTAGGTCTGTAATCTATTTGGAATTGATTTTTTTGTGAATTGTATGAAGATAGGGATCAAGTTGCATTTTGCCCATATGGATATCTACCACTATTTATTGAAAAGACCAGTTTGCCCACTTTACTGCAGCACCGTCTCTGTCATTAATTATGAGTGAAACTGTTTCTGTGGATCTTGTGTAGACTCTATTCAATTTGTCTGTTTGACTAATCTCATACTGTTTTAATTACTGTGGTTTTAGAATGGATATTAATGTCTGATAGCGTAAGTCTTCTAATTTTGTTTCCTTCTCAAGATTGCATTGGTTTTCTTTATAGTTCTATATAGGTTAAAGATCAGCTTTTAAATTTCTACCCCCCAAAAGTTGGAATTTTGGTTGGGATTGCATTGAACCTATAGATCAATTTGAGTGCAGTTAACTTTTTTACAAATATTAGGCTGTCCATTATCGTGGTATATTCCACATATAAAAATACAGTTGACTTTTACATTCTAACCTTGTACCCAGGAACCTTCACGTGTTCCCTTTTTTTACGGAATTTTTGTCACTCACGTGTTTGCTGCTTTGATTGCCCTTACATACCTTCAAACAAAAGCTTTTTTTCTTTCTGTAGTTTATCTAGTTATATCTGTTCTTTGTAGGATGTTTTACGTTATTTCATCCAAGCCAGAAGCTTCAATTTATGATTATTTTCTTTTGATGAAAAGAAAAACAAAAGTAAGCAATTGAATTTAGATGGCTAAAAAATTGACATTGTACTAGTCAAGACAGTTAGTTTGCCATTGGTCATCACTTATTTAGCAATTTATGTATTTTTTTCCTCATATGTTGTTCTGATAGAGAAATTTGATTATGTTTAAGAATAAGGTTATATTAAAGATATAATTTGTTGCCTTTTAATGTAAAAAACATTTACTTTTTTTGTTATTTGGAATATGTATTTTATTTGAGCTACCAAGAGACTAGAAATTATATATACAGGATATATATATATATATATATATATATATATATATATACATACACATACACACACACACACACACACACACACACACACACACATACATACATACAGGTTTATATACCAATCCTTTGAGACTGAGTCAAGTTTGTGAGAAAACCAACCAGTCCACTTAACGTAAACTTTGCCCAGGAAATCGCCAAGAAGGAAATATTTTCATCTTGGCTAATACCAAAAATAAATTAAAATATTTTAAAAGGATATACTTTGTTGTTAATATTGACTCTGTGGCATGCCACAGTTCCCTAAAATATGAAACTGAAGGGGATTTTTGTTATAGAAATCCCTTTTTTATATAGATGAGAAAGTAAGGCCCAGGAATTTAGATTGCTGAATATTTTGTTTACTTTTATCAGTATACTTCCCTGAGCTTATCTGTACCCTCTGGGCCTGAAGTTAATGCTGTATTTCTTTGTATTTGTGACCTTCATGGTTGTACACACACACTTAATTCTGCTTTTTAGAATATGTTAGGCGAATAATAAATAACACTTAATTTTTGAGTTACTATTTGCTATTAACTTTTTTTTTATTTAAGAGAGAAAGGGAGAGCGCATGCTTGGCAGGGTGGGGGGGAATGGGCAGAGGGAGAGACTTTTAAGAAGGCTCCATGCCCAATACAGAGCCCCATGTAGGGCTCAATCTTATGACCTCGAGATCATGACCTAAGCTGAAATCAAGAGTCAGATGCTTAACTCACTGAGCCATCCAGGCGCCCCTGCTATTAATTTTTCAAAGTGCTTCACCTTAGTTAACTTTTTTAATTATCTGAACATTTCCTGATAGGTACTGTAATCATCCCTGTTATAGATGAGGAAACTGAGACACAAATAGATTAACTTGCCCGCGATACATTGTGTTTGGTGAAGCCTAGACAAGACTAGGTAATACTATTGAAAATTGCTTTTCTGTGATGTAAACATAAGGATTTAGAAATAATCGTCTATTTTGCTGTTATAAAATGTATTGTGTCACAGGTGCATGATGATAACTTAGATTTGTCATACTAATATCAGTTGTGTTTCCAGCTGAAATTTTGCCTTTGCAATAGAAAAGTGGTAACTAAAACTCAGACCGTTATTTCCCAGTTGTGTTTCAAAGCATTTTACTTAGAAACCTATTAGCTGTAATATAGACACAATATATAACATGCTCAAAACCACATATTAGGTAAGCGGTAGAGATGGATTCAAACCCATGCTATCTGGATTCAGGTTCTGTCCTGTTCTTAGCGACTCTTTTAGAGCACTACTCGCTGTTTTTTAATTACTCTTAACTATTTTTCTGCCACATTGAATCAGAATGTGTGTGTGTTTGTGTGTGTGTGTGTGTGGTAGGAATCTTACCGTTCTTCAAAGAAAAAATTCCCTTTTAAATTCTCTGTTTTTCTCTAAAAACACTGCCTTTAAATATCTGTTCACATGGTCTGGTATAATACTTCTTTTTTCCTTTGATTTATGGAATAGATTGGGCTCATAAAAATAGATTTATGTTCTGGTAATTTAAATCATTAGTCAAAAGACCTTTTCATTTGAGCAGTCAACCTTGCAGTTCTTGTCACTCTTTGTGTTTTACTTCTATTCAATGTTACCTGCTGGTAGAGAAAGTCCATTTTTTTAATGACCTGCTATTCTTAAAGTCTCCCTCATGAGACCTCAAACTAGGGGCACAGGGAGGCCAGGGGAGTATTTGTGCATATGACATAGGAAAATACTTAACAGTTAACCAAACTGTTATGTAAATGTTTTATTTTTGCTGCTTCCCATCTTTCATTCATCTCTTGAGTTATTCTGTTCCCTGACCCTTACACAGTTTGAAATTCTGGAGATTTGTAAGGCATTTTCAGACCCACAGATTTGTATATCTAAGTAGTACTTCTAACCCCTTAAGTGTGTAAGTTTTATTTCAGTTCAGGTTTAATTTGGGACCTGATGCAAGTGAAAGAGTTACTGTGTATTTCTCTCCCTGCACTTGAGTTTTGTACAATCTGAGCTAGGTTTTTCATCCTAACTTGGAAACACATCTTAAATATTTATTATTAACTTTTCCTTTCAGAGCTAGAAGTAATTTTTAAGGTAGAGAATGAATAATTTAAGTGTCACCTTTTTTTTTTAATTAGATACAGTTTGGGACTTTATCAGATTATTTCGATGCACTGGATAAAGAAGATGTAGCCATTAGGAAGAATAGCCAATCCATGTTCCCTGTTCTAAGTGGAGATTTTTTCACTTACGCTGACCGAGACGATCATTACTGGAGCGGCTACTTTACATCCAGACCCTTTTACAAACGAATGGATAGGATACTGGAATCCCATTTAAGGTACAAAATTTATGTTTAGATAGCTATATCAATTATTCACCTTTTTTATGTGATCATAGCCTTTTTGTAGAGTTTTGCATAATATACAACATTTATGCAGTATTAGGATGTTTAATGTAATTGTGAAATTTTAATGCAATCAGAGATATGTCTCCAATGCAGAATCAGATTATTACATGGGTTTTTGCTTTGAAAGGAAAAGCAGTTAATGTGATTAGACTTTCTCCTGTATCTTAGGTTTTACATGTTTCTAATTAATTACCAGTATTGTTTGCACACTGTGATAATATCCAGCGGCATGGTCATGTGTGTCTACAGGTCAGTAATCAGGCAGACTAAATTGTTGGAAATGAGCAAAGGTCACAAGGAACAAATAGGGTCTCTCCATGGCCAAAATGTGGGCCTCAAAGTACATAATATAAAACCAATATATTTTATATGGGGGAAAACTCCAGAGGCTCCACCTCAGTTCTTATTTATTTGAAACATATTTCTATAGGTGTGATTCTCTGTTTAGAAGAGCAAAACTTGAAAGAGATGAGAACTGATAGCGGCAGAGTGATTGGCTGAGAAAGCACAGCGACAGGGAGAAGGCAAAAAGTCAGTAGAAAACAACAATGCTCTAAACCAGCCTTGTCCAGTAGAACTTTGAGTCACTGGCCCACAGAACTTTCTGCCGTGGTGGAAATCTTCTGTTTCTGCTTTCTGCACTGTTCAGTATGGTAGCCACTTGCCATATGTAACTGTTGAGCGCTTAATGTGACCAGTGTGGGCTCTTAATTCCCTTTAATTTTAATTGGCTTAAGTATAAATAACCACATGTGGCTAGTAGCTGTTATAGTGGGTCTTGTTGCTTTGTATGTAGTAAAGATGAACCACCCCGGGGACTTCTGGGGCTCTTTCTATGTGTGTGTTAGCCTAGGAGGTTAATTCATTTTCATAAGTTCACTTTCAGCTTAGTTCAGATCATGAATTCATGATGATTAATTTTCATGATGAATCCTAGTATTAAAAATAAAAAGTCAGTGTGATAATGGTGAGTGCTCTGAAGTGTGTAAGCCTGACGAGTCACAGACCTGTACCTCTGGGGCAAATAGTACATTATATGTTAATAAAAATGATTAATAAAAAAGATAAAAAAAATAAAAAGTCATGTCATACCTACATTCTTCAAAGTACTGGTAGAAACAGTACATTTTGGAAAGCTTTTTTATAAAGATCATGAATTTCTCCAAGAGTTGTACTTTGGTATAGTAGTGTGTTGTTGTTGTTGTTTTTTAAATTTTTATTATTTCTGTGCTATTACCTTTATTTCAAAAGCCTGATCTTTGCCTGTTTTGGGGATATTCACCAATGTGCTGGGTGGATACATGTTACTGTATTTTAATAAAATAGTATTTCTATATTATAGAGATTTATGCATTCTTGGCCAGTAGAATATTAATTATCTGTTATGTTATTCTAAATTACTTATGATTAAAAACAGAAAAAGTACTAAGTAATGTAGAGATTCTTTTGGATCACTGCATTTTTTAAAAAGTGTCAACTGTTTTTAGTGACAAAGAGTTATAAATATTGATTCCATCTTACTTTATTGAACTTATTTAAGGTGAAGTACTTAGTGCAAGTAATAATATATTTTGAAAATTTTGCTTTAAAATAAAACAACAGAAAACCATATAATATGAATTTCAAAATGTAATCAACTGATTTGAAAATAAGTTTATCGTTTGATAAAAGATATTTCATCTTGATGCTCATTTATAAAACATTTGGATAGGATAGAAGAGTATAAAGAAGAAAATATTTTTTAAATCCCATGTTTATATTTTGGGATGTCTGTATATATAGGTACCCTTGCAAAGCCAGGAATATGTGTTTTGGATATAGATGAACATGTATATGCAATTTCCTTAATTCACATTTAGTGTTTTCCTGCCATGAATTTTAGAAGGATTAGAATTTAAAGGCAGAAATTATTTAGTATCCTTTAATTATTTCAAAATTTAAAGGAATTTTTTTTTAAAGATTTTACTTATTTATTTGACAGACAGAGATCACAAGTAGGCAGAGAGAGGGGAGAAAGCAGGCTCCCTGCTGAGCAGGGGGCCTGATGTGGGGCTCGATCCCAGGACCCTGGGATCATACCCGAGCTGAAGGCAGAGGCTTTAACCCACTGAGCCACCCAGGCACCCCAAGCCATATATCTCTTTTTAAAGAACTTCTTTTGAAACCTATCTTGAACCATATCCTCTGATGAAAAAAATAAAGCATGAAAATGATAAGTCCACATATTCTTGCTCACAAACTACTCTTAAGCCAAAGTATTTTCTTCTTTAAAATAAACAAGAAACAACAGCATATGTTCTATCACCTTTCAGTTTATATTGTTCCATTCCCTCTAGTTGTTGAATGTGTTCATTCAGCGTGGAGACTATCCATTGTTACTGAGCTGTCAGGCCATCGCTTTCTGACTCTCCATTGTTAGTCTCCCACTCGTGTGACCATTTCTGCGCCATATCTCCTTTAATGTACATATGTGAGAGTGAATGGCTTTCTGGTGATGAAGTTTCTGGTACTTGTCTGTGTCGATCTTGGAGAGAAGAAAGAACAGAAACCATTATCCACTTCTTACTGCTGGGTGGAGCTTTTTTTTTTCACTATATTATACATAAGTAAACCTATCTTGCTGCCAGTGGCTACTGGCTTTTTTCCAGGACCATCTGGAACAAGGGCCCTTTTATCAATTTAGACATGATGTTCTCTGATGATTGATAATTTATATATATATTAGATGGGTATCTTGATGGTTTTATAGGAAAGTTTGTTATCAATATCTTTTTTTACAAATTGTGCTGGTCTTGGATATTTAAAAAACCACATTTGAAAATGTATCAGTACCACATATTTAAATAGTAAATGTTTGTTTTGAAATAAGAATTAATGACTGTTTTATGCAATTAGGGCTGCTGAAATTCTTTACTATTTCGCCCTGAAACAAGCTCAGAAATACAAGATAAGTAAATTTCTTTCATCATCCCATTACATGACACTGACAGAAGCCAGAAGAAATTTGGGACTGTTTCAACATCATGATGCTATCACAGGAACTGCGAAAGATTGGGTAGTTGTGGATTATGGTACCAGGTAATATAATTATTAAAAAGTGATTATAAAACAATTTTTTTTAAAATTCTGGGTCACAGGCTTGTATCTTTGGTGAAGTTGTTAATGTACAACAGACCATATCAATAACGACATCCCTTGTAAGTATTGCTTTAGAAAAACAACATCAATATTCAAAGCATTTTTCAATAAATATATTGACAATGTGCTAGCTGTCCTAACTTTAATATTATTGCAGTGCACTTCTGCAAATGGAGTAGTAAAACATTATGATAAAGCTGATTCTGTTTTCTCCCAAGTATAGTGTAGTACCAAGGATTTGGTATCAAATAAATCACAGCTATAATCCAAGGTGATGAAGAGCCACACTTAATTGTATAGCAGTTTAATTTCATCTATTCCATATCCAGTTGTTCTCAGATACCCCCCCACCCCCGAGGGACATTGACAAAAAAGAATCAGCCTGGAGGATAGCCAGGAAGTAGAAGAATCTACAAACCTTGACATATATGGATGATATAAGGAATTGGGATGAGAGGTTGGCCTGGGTATTGATATCAAAGCCCTCTTCAACTCTTGGAAGGGCTGTGAGATGAGAGGAGGGGGGATGGGAAGCTCCATTATTTTCACATTACAGAATTGGAAACTGAGTACAGGCTTTAGCTCAGAACAGCAGGAGACTTATAAATAGTGCTTCTCAATAATCAAAAGGCTTACCTTTTGTGATAGTGAGATTTCCATCATTATGCCCTAGTTTGGGTAACCATTCATTAGGATCAGTGTAAAGGAGATTCCTATGTTGGGGAAGGAGTTTTGACTATTATTTCGTTACGGTTTAGTTATTATTTTTTCCAGGTTTTTTTCCGATCAGTAATGGTGTACTTTGATAATACTTTAAAATTGTTAAAATATGCTCTGATTTTCTTATTATAGAGATTTAAAAAGTGAATCTCTCTCTCTTTTTTTTTTTTTTTGAAAGATTTTATTTGACAAACAGAGAAAGAGATCATAAGTAGTCAGAGAGGCAAGCAGAGAGGGGGAAGCAGGCTCTCTGCTGAGAAGAGAGCCTGATGCGGGGCTCCATCCCAAGACCCTGAGATCATGATCTGAGCTGAAGGCAGAGGGTTAACCCACTGAGCCACCCAGGTGCTCCATAAAGTGCATCCCTTTTTTAAAATAAATGCTCCCTCCCATAAGTGTAAAGTATATGCAGTACATGAAGTCAGCATTATGGATTGATCCGTAAAATCGCTATCACTAAACATAATAAGTGTTAATTAAAATTTTAGTTACAGTATTTTGACTGCCTTTCTAGATATTTGAAAAATAAATTCTTGAGGTTTCATTAGCTGACTTGAGTCCTTGAAAATATATTTATGGTGGTATCTTGAATATCTTTTCAGTCTTCTTGTGGCAAATCTATTTGGTACCTGTTGAGGTTGAGCTGGGCTTAAAATGGAAAACACTCATTGGCTGATAATGATAATTGGTTTTTCTCCCACAGAAGGCATTTTTTAAAGTAAGGTCAGCTCCTCCATTTTTTCCTTTTCACCTGCCTGTCTTCTTGGTTTATTGAGAGTTTAAAAATGAAGCTTATACTCAGAAAAGAGTTCCTAAGAGGAAATGAAGAAGTTGTTCTCCTACACTGTCCTCTTGTTCTCTCTCTCTGGCTGCCATACTGAAAGGGGCTTGGGTACAGGTCATTGAGTTTTTGCAACCGAACATTTTCTGTCTCATAACCTTTCCAGAAGGCCTGTCATTAGTTCCTCCATATGTTTGGTTATGCTTTTAGCTTATAAAAACATCACCGTACAAAATTGCATCTTAGAGAAAAAAAGACAATAATTCTCAAATTGTACTTGACATTTGTAAATTTGCTTTGCGAGCACTTCACACTTCATTGAAAAGTCATACACAATTATCAAGTCATTAGCATAGACATTTTAAGTAGGAAATTTCAAAACACAAGTCAGAGAGTTATAAACAAAGAGGCAGCTAGCATTGGGTGTTCTCTTGTTCTTAGACTGTTGACTGTTTATTCAGATGTTGGCAGAAGTGTCCCTATGAACAAATGTATGAGTTAAGGATTGCATTTGGCTGCTAATAATAGCAACTTGAAACAGAGTAAATCCTATCCTACTTATTTCTGTGCCATGTGGAAGAAGTCTGCATGTCCCGAGTTCAGGTATAGCAGCTCCACAATGCCAACAGGAGTCCAGACTCTTCTAGCTTTCTCTTTGGCCATTTAAAGGTGATTCTTAGCGCACTGCTCTCCACGGTAGATTGAATGTTTATATAATTATCACCTGGAGAGCAGGAATACATCATGGCTATTTGAAGGTTAATTCTAATCATGGCATGAAAAAATGAATTAGACTGGGACAGTGTTTGTGATGATGTTTAGCATGGCATGAGATCAGTTACAGAAAGATTTAGAATTCTGCCAATTTCTATATTGTAATTAAGGTAGGAGAAAAAAATGAACAATGAGTAATTATGAGGGCCCATATGTATGGATCGAATGATTCACTGAAAAACATGCTAATATCTGCTTTCAACAGTTGTAATGATAACCGAGTAGAAAACTGCAATTTCTAAGTGATGGTCCTTGAATAGTTCAGTGATAAAGAATACGGGCATGTTAGGGTATTAGAGGCTCTGAGAAATCCCACAATGATGAAATGTTGAAACATTGAAATTTTACTTTCCCAAACTGTGGGAAATTTACTGTGTTTAGTCTTGTTTTGCTTTAAACAAAACGGCTTTATGCATCCTGAGAAAGCATTTGGAGAATACTGTGCCAGTACATAGTGCTTATCTTGTTTGAAGACTATGCATGTGCCTTTAAGATACAATCATTGATGTGTGACATTCCCTCAGTTTAAGCAGGACTCTTCCGTGCATTGTAATACATATAAGGTTTTAGCTGGTGGAGAACATGACTTTTATTTTTCAGCTTCTGACAGACTAATAAAGTTAGCCATGTAGATAATAAAAATAAACTTAAATCGAAGGGCTTATTTCTCTAACTGAATTGTATTCATTCATGTTGTCTTTTAGTCTGGTGAAAACACTTATCACCTAGGAAAATATTTGAATAGACTAAGAAAACTTAACTGGATGATGGCCTGAATTTACATGCATAAGATTTTAATACTATGTATGTATAATACTTTTGCATAGTTAATTAACTTACTGATTGTGATCACTTATATCTTTGAAAGTAATCTCAGTGCTCTGCAAAAAAAAAGTTATTTCTCTCTTACACATTTTCTTGTTGTTGCGTGACAACAAAAATGTTCTTAACATGTAGATCCAAAATTGCTTCCTATATTGGGGAAAATAATATAATCACTCTATAACCATAATAGATTCAATGGCTGATTGAAAGCACGTTTAGCCAAGTTTCTCTACAGATTTCTCCAGTAGGTTTACTTGGGGTTACCTGTTCTATAAAGCTTTAAAGAAACAAGATGAAACTTGAAAAAAACTTCAAACAAATTCTTTTCCTATGTGTAGTGCTTCAGCAATAGCTGGTAATATACCAAGATTATGTTCCAGAACTGATCTTGAATAGGTTGATTCATATGTATCTCTTTGGTTCCTCAGACATAAAAATACAGTTAGGATACAGTTAACAGTTCTATTTTATTTATTTTTTTTTACAGATTTAGGTATTTATTTATTTATTTGTCAGAGAGAGAGAGAGCATAAGCAGGGAGAGCAGCAGGCAGAGGGAGAAGCAGGCTGTCTGCTGAGCAGGGAGCCAGACATGAGCCTCAATCCCAGGACCCTGGGATCATGACCTGAGCTAAAGGCAGACGTTTAACCGACTGAGCTACCCAGGCATCTCACAGTGAACAATTTTAATGACCAAGAAAAGTGACAAGGACAAAGACAGTTTCATTATCCAGACCTGTGAAAACTTTCTCTTTTTTTGAACAAGTACATGAAACTAAAGTCAACAAAATATTTATTTGAATTTTTCAGGAATTTGAGGGTTTTTTGAAGTGTGGATACTGATTGAATTTTCTTGTGAATGACAGTTAAGCTCATGCTTTCTTCTGCTGTTTCAGCATTTGTTAAAGAATTTTATGATGTAAAGGACCAAATCACTTTTTTTTATAACAATGTCTTAAAGCATTTGGAGTGATCATGTTGAATATTCTTAGTATTTGGCATGATATTCATAGAAAGTATTGGTAGTTTGAATAAGTTTACATGTTTCAGGTGTGTACAGAAAGTTTTCTATTTTAAATGAATCTTTATTAGTGATATCTTTTGATTAACCTTTTTTTCCTAAGGACTTAGTTCTGGGCAAAGAAGAGTCAGTTTGTTAGAGGTTCATTATAGGTTTCACTTTGTGAATACGGGGTGAGAGTAATGGTGGCTTAGCCATTATTAAAGAAACTGACAATATTGTATACAGATATTTGAATTCCTTCTCAGACCAGTAAAATTTTTGGTTCACAGACTCTTCCATTCATTAACGAATCTGAAGAAGATAATTGGATATTCTGCACTACTACTTATTTTGAAGGACAAAAACTCATACAACTCTTACTCTTTTGATAACCTCCTGGACATGGTTAGTTGCTACCTTTTATATCATCATAAAAATGTGTGATTCTTTGAATCTTGGGTTGGAAAAGGGGATGAGAACCTGAGTGAAGAGACGTTGAAAGATAGCGATTTCCTTGTATATGATTTGAAAGAATTTGTATCCTTTTATATGAAATACCCGTGTGTTTGTCTTTCCTATAAGTGTATCTTTGTTTGATTTACGGTGTATATTTTGTTCTGACTAAATCTAAACATGAAAAATAATGAGCTTGCTTTGTTACATGGAGCTTACAGCTTTCAGAACATTATTAAGAGGACATTGTAAGGTAACTGGATGTTTTAATTAGTTATTTTTGCTTAGCTTCAATTAGAAGCTCCTTGGTATTGGAACTTCTGTAAATCCTTCATCTGTTCTTGCCAAACTTCAACTTGAATAATCCTAAAGTCTTCTGGTTTCAGGATGAGTCCATGGAGGGCTGTGGGTGGTGCTCGGATATGTTTAATCGTAGAGGAGCAGTTAAGGAATCAGGAGATTAGCTATTAGCCGCAATCCTCTGTACCCGACTGCATGGGCCTTGAAAAAGTTGCCTGACATCTTTGAGCCCTCATTCATTTTTCTGTAAGGTGGGATGATACCTGCCTTGGTTTGTATCATTGTTAGGATCAGAGGAGCCAATAAAACAGAACATACTCTGAAAGGAAGAATATACTCTTCAGCAGCAAGGAAGAACAGTTGAAAAAATGGTTGATTGCAAACCTCTTTAGACTTCCACGTGGCAACTCAGATGTTTCAAAATTGTAACGTTTTATCATTAGAGTCTGTTGTGAACTATACACGTTGAAATTTTACAGTCATTAGAACTTACACATCTGGAATCGGAGATAAAAATTCAATATTTTCATATACTGATGCTTGCAATCAAATTATGGTTACACATTTTCATATTAAAGTGAAAAATCCAATAAATGGACATACATTGCTTAAGGATATGAAACCTGTAATACAAAGGTAAAATAATGAAATGTTTTGCATTATCTTTAGTACTTTAATTTGCTTGGTTCCTAACTGGACTCTAGTAGTCCCTGGAACATATGCCATACCGAAGTCTAAAGACACACCCATAAAAATGCACACACGCGAGAATTACTTATTTTGAACTTTGATGGAACTGATGTAGCTAGCAGGAGGATTTTTTTCCATCCTTTTTAGGATTTTTTTCTAAGTACTATACATAACGGGTTTTGAAACTTAAGTTTTAAAAGTAAAATAAAAAATTTTTGTTTATTTTTATAGGATTTGAAACAAAACTCACAAAGTTCTCTACCACAAAAAACTGTAATAATGCTGAGTGCAGAGCCAAGGTAAATAATAATTTTTCATAAACTTTTGCAACTATTCTGACGACTTTTTTGCTTTCCATGATTCTTTTCTTTAGCCAGGATGTACTTTGAGGAGGTATTTTATTTAATGAATTTATTAATTAAAATTTTTTTGAAGATACAGATTTTTCTCCCATAAGTGTCATGTTCAGTGTTACTAGCTAACACAGTGCTTGGTACGTTGATTGTTGAATGAACTATTATAATAATTTTTTTTACAGATATTTGGTACGAGATGGTAAATAATGATTTATGATTATGTTCTTTCTTAAATCCTTGTTTACTTACCTTCTTTTCATTAATCCCTTGATCCCATTTTTAAAATGAAGGAAGGAACTTAATTATGAAAGTTTCCTAATATAAATTATATACTAGGTAACTGTCATGGTGATGGTCAGACTGTGTCATTTTAGCATGTGGATTTATGTTAAAGTAAATGGGAAATATGTTCAGTTAACCTGAAAATGGGGCGACTAATTGTTGGCTGCCTCTGAGTTATAAAGAAATGTTTCATGTTTTTATTGGTAATTATTTAACCAAGTATTCTGTTTTTAATGATGAAATATCATCAGTATTGACTATCCCCAGATACACAGTATATTCTTATATACTATAACTTTTTGCTGTCTAAATGGAGAAATTTAGTATGTACAAATTGTAGAATAAGAGAATAATTGTAAAGGATAATTCATGATTTTAATTAAGTATTCTTTATTAGGATTATTTTTAAATAAGTATTTATTTATTTATTTAGCAAAGTATTACAGAAAATTTACAATCCTTAATAAAATTGACATTTTGGTTACGCATAGAATAAAGCCTTAGTTGGCTCTAAATCTCTTCAGGAAGTAGAGACTTAAAATGTATACACCTCATACCTTTGAACAAGAAGACAGGTATTTTTTTAATAACGCTAAAGTGATGGTAAAGAAATCCCGCATTTCTTTCTTTTAGCCAGAATAAGAAGGGATTAACTGGAAAAGACAGTCCTAAGTCTCAACTTTAAAGTCTCGTTGCAGGTTTTACAGCCGTCAGGTTTGCCAGGTCATGAGAGAGTAATGATAGCCCCATTGTAAAATGTTTTCTTTGTCTTAAAAGAAGTAGTATTTTGATGTAGTTGAGGTTATATGGCTGTTCCTTAAATATTGTGCCCCTTATAAACTCTGATGTCTGTAAATTTCTTTGGCATTAGGTATAATCCCCCTTTTCTATCTTGGTGGGGGAAGATCTTTGTTTCTGCTGACTCTAAGAATGCCTTATGCTTGCTGTTAAGTAATTTATGCCCCTCCCACACCTCATTAGTCTTCCTTTGGGTGTATGGCAGGGTGGGTGGGATGGAGTTCTAATGGTTTACAAATCCTGTGGCTTTTCTTCTTCCTCTGTTGTCCTTGCTTTAGCCAGGAATAAGTGATAATTTAGCCCTACCTATGCTGAAGGAAGAAAGGAGATCCAGGTTTATTAACTAAGAAGAAATTTATTTTTGGGCTTTAATATTGAGGAGTTTTAATTATAGATAAATGTAAATAGCATTTTTGAGACTTAGTAAAATTATCACTTTCTGATACTTCCTTTTGAACGGTTTGTATTTAAATAGTGTTCTTCATCTATTACTCCTTCATAGTTCTTTTCTACCAAATGTCAGTGCTACTACTGTTTCTGTAGTTAGGTGAACTGGGCATACTTAAGATTGTCAGATTCTTATTTTGTACTTGAGGACCTCATGAATAGAATTACGTGTACTTCTGGTTTTAAAATCTATGTTTTACTTGTTAGCCACAAATAATCTGAGTGACTGATCTCTCAGTAAAATCAGTGAAGGATGGAGGAATGTCAGTGGCCTTTGAAATGGAAGAATTCGATAGTTTCATTTAGTAGGTACTGAAAGTGAAATCACTGTCTGCCCTTCTTAGTCTTGAAGTTGAAAGTTTCAGAAGTATGGTTGTGAGTCTTTCTCATGTTCTTCATGAGTCCTGTATAGTGATCTAAGGCTTAGCATTATTTGGATGATAAGAATAATTCTTGTTTGAGCAACAGAGTATTAATCTAAATAAGCATGCATTCTCAAGTGAGAGAGACATCCTCCTTAGGAGGGTAAAAATTGGTTTTGGAGAGTTTGAAATAAAAGGATTTTTTAAATATATAAAGCATAAAAATAGTACTAATAGTACAATAACATATACTTTTAAGTGTTGTGTTAAAATTGTATGTGGGGGATGATTAGCAAAAAATGTCTAAAAGAGTCTTTAAAGAGTTATGTGAAAAGTATGAGAAACACTGATCTAAGCTCACACAATTTCAATAATACATGTCAATGAATTTGATCATGCTGTTTGGCAACATTAGTTATAGCTATAACCTAACATAATTTAGTTTGGGAGTCTTTTTTTTTTTTTTTTTTTTTTTAAGATTTTATTTATTTGCCAGAGAGAGAGAGAGAGAGAGTATACACAAGCAGGCAGAGGGGTAGGCAGAGGCAGTGAGAGAAGCAGGCTCCCTGCTGAGCAAGGAGGCCTATGCAGGACTCGATCCTAGGACCCTGGGATCATGACCTGAGCCGAAGGCAGCGGCTTAACAAGCTGAGCCACCCAGGCATCCCAGTTTGGGAGTCTTTAAAAAGGAGTCCCTAATCTGCTCATGGGGATGTAGTACATGTCCATGAGCCTGATTGAGTTCCCAAGGTTAGATAAGCTCTATGGTATATGCACTCATAGTCTTTATATGGAAAGCAGGTACAATTAGGGGTTAAAAGTTAGGATACCTTGATCGAGTCATCAGTTTTCTAGCTTAAAAGAATCTTTAAATGTACAGAGGTGTTTCTTTTTCTCTAAGGAAACCAATTTTAAAAAACTGTAATACAAAGATTACAGGATTAGGGACATGGAGGACATGGGGGATGGAAAGTAAACTCCTGAGACAGCCAGAGATTTCAGTCTTCTTTCAGTGTTTGGTACTTCAGGCAGGAGGGAAGCAAATATTGCTGCAGCACAAGCAGCCAAGTCATGTGTTTTGAGAACGTGTGAAGGAACTTTTTTTTTAATGTGGAAAATTTTAAATGCCACTGAGTATACAACTAAAATTGCATTGAGATAACTTCTATAAATGTGAAAATTTAATTTTTCAAGTAGAAAAATCTTTTAGTTTGAGAGCAATTTATTCAAACCCATTACGTATTTATCATTATGTGCTTTTAATGTTTAGCAAGGCATTTCTTGGTAAGGGATCTTCTATCTCTTTGGGCCAGGAAAAAGAAGGGGTTAACTTGAAATGAAACCATCAACCATGTGGAGACACAAAAGAAGTCATTGTTTTTGGGGCTTGGGTGACTTCAGAGTATCAACCAGATAGTAAAAGTACTCAATTCCAGAGAAGTCACTCATACCTCCCTTGCCATATATTTGTTGAAGGGTTCTGCCTGGATGGCTGCCCAGCAGCTTTAATTTAATTTCCTCTTGTTTTCTCTGTGCATGCTTTCTTTTTGTATCCTAATCTTTATTAATAACATTATTCTCTTTTTGGTTATCTAGGTTCTGAAACCCTAGAACCCACTTTGACTTCCATTTTTCTTGTTCTTTTAAGTTTCATCATCTGGAGAGTCTTTTGGATTTTCCTGTCTACTCATCTCTTGACATTCATAGTCTCCTGCCTTCCTATTACTTTCCGGTTTTAAGCCTTTTTTTTTTTTTTTTTTTTTAATGTTTTACTTGAACTCCTGCAATGACTTCCTGTTCTTTTGTCTTCAGTTTCCCTCTGCTCCTAATTTATTGCATGTAGTTGTCACAGGAATCTCCCCACAGCAGAACGTGAGAAAGTCGCTTGGGTGGAAGCGGCAAGGCTTCTAGGACCTAGTCTCAGAAGTCCTCGAAGGTCTTTCCCCTGCATTCTTAGTCAAGCGAGTCACTAGGGTCAGCCAAGATTCAAGAGGAGAGAATTATTCTCCGTTACTTGATGTGAGGAGCACCTGCAGAAAGTGAAGAGAATGATAGCAGTCGTCTTTGGAGATGGTCTCCCACAGCTCACCCACTGGCCCGTACAGTTCTTGCACCTACCATGTGCACAATATCCACCTCCTTCCAAGATGCCAAAGTGTCATCCCCTTATGATACTGGCCCCCAATTTTCACCTAAATCAGGTCCACATAGCTGGGAATTGATGTTTTCTTATTTCTGTCAGTATAATACTTATTATAGGTTAATTCTGCTAGATTGTAAACTCCTTGACAGCAGGGGTCAAGGAGTTGAAAACTGCTAGGAGTTTAAAAACTGCTTTTACTTAGGTGTCCCACTGTGCCTGTGGAATTACAGTCAGCATAGTAAGAATAGAATAAAGACTTGTTGAAATATAATTAATTACTGTTTGAAGAGATTATTAAACCTCAGACACCAGATATGCAGAGACCTTCTATGTGAAATTGTGGTATCCTGGTATATCTCCTCCCCAAATAGTTCTTTCATCTGGTGTTTGGAGTTTGCGTGCCGGAGGGTTTCTGAATACACTGAGTCCTGCTACAAGCCAAACTAAATTAAATAACAATTCAAAGCTTCGAATTTGCTCAACATTTGGACAGCTGCTCATTGGAGATTTTAGAGTTTCATACCGTGATACTTGAAAAATTTTAGGTTCCATCTTAGCATCATTGCATTCTTACAGAATTACCTTTGTTGAGATTGCATTCTTGAGGGCTCTGTAGAATGAGTGGGTTCAAAAGATACTCCCAAATATCTAAGTGAGTTGACCTCATCAGATCAGTTTTTTTTTTCTTTTTTAGATTTTATTTAAATTGAAGTTAGTTAGCATTATAGTGTATGATTAGTTTCAGAGATAGTATTTAGTGATTCATCAGTTGCATGTAACACCCAGTGCTCATTTCATTAAGTGCCCTCCTTAATGCCTGGGTAACCCAGTTACCCCATCCCCCCACTACCTCCTCTCCAGCAACTCTCAGTTTGTTCCCTATAGGTAAGCATCTCTTGTGGTTTGCCTCC